AAAGTAAGACACTTTTCATCTATGGCAACAACTGCGCAAATCTAAAATAAGGGAGATATAGGACAGAGAAGAGAGAAGCTCGACCCTTCATTTTCCAAGTCCCGTTCCATGTTTACCTTGCGAGATCAAAACAATTGTGACGCGTAACTCATTACTGCGAACCAGCAAGTAGTCCATGTATTGCTACGCGCTTGTGAGAACGCTTATTTTGTCATTACTAGCGTCTGATTCTCTGAATTCATGTATGTAATGCATTCTTCTAGTTTTATTATACTTCTCTTGCGTCTTTTGGTAATTATTTACGTTATTCTGTACAATAACCTTTTGCGCATGCGCGTTTTCACCGGGAGATTTGACAGGTCGACCCACCGCCATTCGCTGAGGAACACCGGTGAAAAATGTTTCATTTCAAGTGCTGTGTCGACATCGGGTTATTTTTAAAACTATATTGTGGATATACAGGACAAATAGACATTATTCTCAATCACAAGTCTGATATTTGAGCCCAACAAGTGCCCCAAATGCCGAAAAAAGTGATTAGAAACCAAGCTATTCTGACCATGGACGGAAGCGCACAATAGTTCGGTTTTTCGTTTTATAAAGGTATGTGGTATATTGCTACGGGGGTCCAGGGGGCGTAGCCCCCTGGCTAGGCGCATTTAATACCATGGGGGTCCAGGGGGCAGAGCCCCCTGGCTAGGGAATATATAGATCGTAGTGTATAAATCCCACAGGGTTAGGTTAGGCTAGGCTAGGTTAGGTTAGGTAGGTTGGTTGGTTAGGACGCATTGTACGATTATCACAGGGGATCTGGATTATGTGAAATCCCGTAGATTTTTACCGAACGGTGGGTTTGGTTCCCGTAGAGTTTTTCGAAATTTGGCGCGTCGGTCCGTAGACTTTGAAAGATGGCGGCGATGTCCGTAGAGTTTCATTATCCGATTTTAAGCGTTTTTTGTGCTTGTTTTACACATTTCTGCTCTCTATTTTGCTTATTTCAGCCTGTTTTACCCCGTAATTTCCCTGATCTACTTCATGCCCTCCCCTGCTATCGGGACTTATGAAAACACATCAAGATTGTCGGCTGGAGAATCCGACGGAGAATATCATCAGATTCGTTCTCATCACACGAGAACAAATTTGATGATATAAACATTGTCAGGGAAGACCCAGTTGTCATTTTTGGAAAATTAACCGGAATTTCTCGTCAAAGAAGCGAAACAAATGGTATATTTCGGTATTTTTTTAACTAGTTTATGATAAAATGCAGCGTGTCAGGTTGAAGATATGGTATTTATTTCTATGGTATTTATTTCTTGGGAAACAGCTGATCAGGAAAGCAAGGAGTTTCTCGAGGCCAAGACACTATAAAAGAAGGAGTTGCTCGTCAAAGAAGCGAAACACATGGTATATTTCAGTTATATTTCAGAAGTTTATGATAAAATACTCACGACTATGAGTAAGAGGAGTAATGAGTATTCTCGAGGCTAAAAACACTATAAAAGAAAGAATTTCTCGTCCAAGAAGCGAAACAAATGGTATTATTTCGGTATTTTTTCACTAGTTCATGATAAAATGCAGCGTGTCAAGTTGAAGATAGAGTGTTTATTCATTTTGATTAAGGATGTTAGATGTAGATAAGAGGAAGGGCCATGAAATGTACAAAATTGATATTATTTACAGCCTTTTTATTTTTATTTCTACTCGAAGTTATCATGTGTCAATCATCTTCGCTTTTTCCAGATTTAACATAGTCAACACTGCCTCGATGTAATGTGTTTTAACCCATTCGCGCCGGGGGTCATGTATATGTGACATGCCCACTATGAGTTTACTTGTTTAATTGTTTTTCCACATAGATGACTACACTTGTTGTGAGTACTGCCTCTCACGCCTGGTTACCTTTTTCTTTAATTTACGAAAATATTTTACATTATCTTATTTTGCTGTTACTAATATTTGTAACATTATAGTAATTATAATGTTTATAATGAAAATAACCATTGATATTCATAGCACTAGTAAAAAATACATTTTCCTGCCGAATGAAATCAGGTAAGGTAGAGCCATCTATGTGTAGAGATATTTCACAAAAAGTATAAAAAATGAGCACATCATTTTCCCCATTTTTTGTTCATTTTCACCCATTGCGAATGGGTTAAGTGTATTTTCCCAGCCAAAATTATTATGAGCATAGTAATTTGGACAAGGAATAAAGTTCCTTTAATTGGAACACCTGTTTTGTTTTCAGTTTTTATTTAAAAAAACAGAATAATGATGCTTTCCTCTTAGCATGGTACTGGAACCCTAAAGTGTATTTTATTTTGCCATGTAATATGTAATGTTCATGAATTTACATAATATTTTGTAGTTAATATTATCCTTTTTCTTACTGACAGACATAAAAATGGCGAATGCTGTAACAAGTTTCATAGATTCCCTGATGGAATTGCTGAGCTTAACCTCACAGATGATGTCTCTGGCAGTTCGCGTTTGGTCT